AAATACTCCTTCACAATGCGTGACGCAATTTGTTTAAATATATTTAAAGCCCCACCCTGTCTTGTGTTCAGGGGCCCTAAATATAACCATACGGGTAAAACGGGTGTTCTGGGACTTATGATTCTCATCCGAATGGTGACACTTTGTGTCACCGCGTGTTTATCGTTCGGTTTGATGTCCCTGTGGAGTTGAACGTCAGTCAGTCAGTAGAGAGTAGCAAATGTTTTTTTTTTTTTTTAAGAGTCTAAAATGAAGCCCTGATTGAATTTATTAAATAGATTAAACCATTTTGAGTTCAAGAGTTTATAATGAAAGATTGGCTGAGTTTATAACATGTTTTTCAGGTTTAATTGATATACAGGTTTTTTTAAAATCAGTAAATTAACCTAATTATTAAATTGATGACTCTCCTCGGTCAACCCAGCATTTTTAATGGGTAGCGCGTCAAATCCTGGAAAGTAAAGGCGGTCGGTGTGTTATGTTTACCACATTACTCACCAAGTGCCGACTGCTTTTTGTTATCCTCTTTTTCATCGCATTTTGTTATGTTGTTTGATTGGTGGCCCTTGGGGGGGGGGGGTGGTGGGTGCAGGGTGGGGAGGAGGTGTGCAGGGTTGCCGTATACTCATTGGGGAAACTCCTTAAACAAGTTGGATACCACTGCTATTGAGTTTTCTAAATTTTGATGAACAAGATTTAATTGCGAAGCTGCGCTTGGGATAGTGAACGATAGTCTTTTTCTCCTGTTGTCTACCTCTTCATGGTCTCCACCGCTGCCCAATAAGTAGACCTAGTGGAAATATAGGTCTAACTAGAACCCTATATTTAATATGCCAGCTTCCACTTCAGCTTTGTCTCCACCGCTGCAGTATGTTTAGTCATTGCCCCTAATTTTACCAGAGGCATCACTTTGCAAAAGATAAAGAAATGCACAGCACTGTGGCCGGCAATGTGACTGTTAAATTAAACACGGTAGTCATAATGGCATATGAAAATGGGCTATCCTCCGAATAACGGGCACAAAAGAAAGCGGCCAAAAACAGGGCTCCAGTCACGTGTCAATTGCGCACTTCCGGAAACTTAATTTGCGGTTTTCAGGCGACTACCGCCACCGCCGAGAGTATACTCCACATGTGGATTGGAGCTAAACTAGATGGCTTGGACTCACGAGCAAAGCTGCAGGAGATGCGGAAGCTGCTGCTCGGGAGTCCCAGCCATCTAGTTTAGCCCCAATCCACGCCGCGTGAGCGGCGTATGGGATACTCTTGCCGTGGCGGTAGTCAGGAGAAAACCGCAAATTAAGTTGCATGAAGTGCGCAAGTGACACGTGACTGAGGCTCTGTTAGGGTATTTTTACGGCCGCCATCTGTTGTGCCCGTTATTCGGAGAATAGCCTGAAAATGTAACCCGTATATCGGTAACGGTTTGGGAGGAGTTAATACTTCATTTATAATAAACACACGAAACATTGTTATATCCTGTTTCGTCCTTTTTAGGATGAAATTTTTTGTTGTTTGAAGCCCCACCCTGGCTTTTGCCAGGGGCCGCAATACAGGCAGGCCATAAATTTGGCTAATTGTCTGAACGCGGTTTCTGGGACCTCTCCACGGCGATCCTCATCCACATTATGGCACTTTGTGTCATCGAGTGTTTATCGGTTGTGTGATGTCCTGGTGGGATAGAAAGTCAGTCAAACACACACAAGACAGAAATGGTTTGTGATTTTTAGTACAGAATAATGAATGAATACTGAACAAATGAATGCAATTGATTGCAGGCTTTGTTGGCGGCAGCGGACAATGACATGGAGCGGATCTGCGAATTGATCCTTGACCATCCGTTGTACCGGGAGAGTGTCAGAAGGCAGAGCATGAAGCAGGCTGCAGACATGGCTGGAAGGCAGGGGATCGAGTGCACAGATGAAGTCAACGCTCGCTTCTCCCATGCCAACTTGAGTAAACTTCTACTAGAGGTACGTTTGATGTCTGTGAATTGGTGTCAGTTGGATGGTTTATGTATAGTTGTGTTGGTTTGCTAGTTAAATAAACAAATATCAAGAAAAGATATTAAATCTAACGAAAAGTATGATATATATATATAATATAACGAGCACAAATGTAAATGTTGCGGCTATGAAGCCTTCATCAGCATATACATAAATAAAACAATGCCACACAAATACACAAATATCACTTAGTATCTGAAAGCGGCCACTTCGATGTCTGTTTATTAGAATGATAAACAAATAAATAGACATGTGTTGCATTTGCACACTTAGAAAAAAGAAAAGAGATCTGCCTGTCTACCTAGTTGTTAGTGAAGTAAGGGTGTTCTGCATCAAGGGAGACGTAAGGCACATGCATCTCTATGCTAGCCTTAAGGACACCCTTGGGCAAGGTGGAGTACCTGTTAGCCCTACTATAAAGGTATCATGAAACCATGGGAACAGATTATGGACTATGCTTGATAGCAGCTGACAGATAGATGCTGGTCATGGTCGCAAGCTCCCCGACGGTACGCAGAGGACCACATTACAGAAACAGTGGTTATGGTCCCCCGACCAGAATGATCATCGCCAAGAAGGCAAGCAATAAACAATGGCAAACTAACTTTTCAAAGTGCCCGAATTGCCATGTTTTCATAACTTACAGGCAAGGTGGAAAACCTCTACTTGCGGTAGAGATGTGGTTTCTGGGAAGAATACGAAGTATATCATGGAAGAAACACAAACGAAGCGGTCCTTGTTGAGGCAGAAGAAAGTCGTAAACGAACTACAACAAGTAAACTAAGCGGACGGTACTTTATTGAAACATATTAAAAGAAGTAATGGACTCGAAAACTTGTCAACAACTAACAAGACTGATTGAAAGAGAGCAAAAAAAGACAAAAAAGTAACAACAATTGAATGGCCTGGCTAGATGGATGGGGCGAGTCTCTCTCTCTCTCTCTCTCTCTCTCTCACACACACACACACGCACGCACGCACGCACCCACCCACCCGTACGCACGCACGCACCCACCCACCCACACACACACACACACACACTCACACTCACACACACACACACACACATTAATAGTAATCAAATGAAATGACGAAACATGATAGCCTACATTACCGGCACGACACATCATGGGGATGATACTTGCTTACCTATCTAACTTACGACATACCTATATGCCTACCCACGTACCTTCATGACAACAATAACTTTTTACCTAATACCTACCCAGTAATCTGCACACCTACCTAACCACCAGTCTTCATGATGACTACTTGCCTAACTACCAGTCTTCATGATGACTACCTGCCTAACAACCAGTCTTTATGATGACTACCTGCCTAACTGCCAGTCTTCATGATGACTACCTGTCTAACTACCAGTCTTCATGATAACTACCACCTAACTACCAGTCTTCGTCATAACTACCTGCATAACTACCAGTCTTCATGATGACTACCTGCCTAACTACCAGTCTTTTTGATGACTACCTGCCTAACTACCAGTCTTTATGATGACTACCTGCCTAACTACCAGTCTTTATGATGACTACCTGTCTAACTACCAGTCTTTATGATGACTACCTGTCTAACTACCAGTCTTTATGATGACTACCTGCTTAACTACCAGTCTTTATGATGACTACCTGCCTAACTACCAGTCTTTATGATGACTACCTGTCTAACTACCAGTCTTTATGATGACTACCTGCCTAACTAGAAGTCTGCATGATGACTACCTGTCTAACTACCAGTCTTTATGATGACTATCTGTCTAACTACCAGTCTTTATGATGACTACCCGCCTAACTACCAGTCTTCATGATGACTACCTGTCTAACTACCAGTCTTCATGATGACTACCTGTCTAACTACCAGTCTTCATGATGACTATCTGCCTAACTACCAGTCTTTATGATGACTATCTACCTAACTACCAGTCTTCATGATGACCACCTGCCTAACTACCAGTCTTCATGATGACTATCTGCCTAACTACCAGTCTTCGTGATGACTATCTGCCTAACTACCAGTCTTCATGATGACCACCTGCCTAACTACCAGTCTTCATGATGACTACCTGTCTTCCTACCCACTAAATGTGGCTCCTTATTCACATACAGCAGCGGTTCTCAACCTGTAAGTCGCAACCACTTTAGGGGTCGAACGACCATTTCACATGGGTCACACGAAACCATCAGAAGACAATATTCACTTAAGTTATGAAGTGGCAACAAAAATAATTTATGATTAGGGTTCAGCACAACATGAGAAACTGTGTTAAATGAAGTTAGGAATAACTTTGAGAACCCCTGACCTACAGCCTTTCCGACAGCTCGCAGAATGTGTTTCTCTCTCTCTCTCTTTCTCTCTCTCTGTCTCTCTCTCTCTCTCTCTCTCTCTCTCTCCATCAATCATCATCCCCCCTCTCCTCTCTCTCTCTCTCTCTCTCTCTCTCTCTCTCTCTCTCTCTCTCTCTCTCTCTCTCTCTCTCGCTCTCTATCTGTTTTTGCTGAGTGCATGCCGCTTGAGAAATGCTCGTATTTGTTGGCGGCTTGTGAATTATTCGGCGTGCATGCCAAAGCGGTACTGGGTTAAAGAATAGGAAATGCCTGGATATTGCCTCGTAAGATCTTCATGACGATGCTTGGTAATGATATATCATAGATCATTACATGAGTTACCGCTTTCGCAGTGAAGGTTGGCTGCAAAAGATCTTCATCACACTCTGCTCCTTGTCCTGGTCTGCTGTTCGTCTATCCCTTGATTTTGCTCTCCCAATTTTTATCGTTGTCTACTTCTTGTTGTCTTACCTACACCACTTCTACGACTTAAATTATCCATTTCCACTATGCCATTTTTAAAACTGCTTTATATGTGTGCATATATATGTATATCTCTGTTTTTTTTTTTCTTCCACTTTATTTTGCCAGCTGTCTTTTTATTCTCGGTTTTTAAGAACCCTTGCATCTGATTGCTCTGGTGTGCAGAGCGACCTAATTTTCTGTTAAGCCACAATTCTAAAGACTCAATTTGATTTTCACGTTGTTCTTTCATTTTTCAGGATCACACACACACACACACACACACACACACACACACTGACACACACACACACACATTCACACACACACACACACTCACACACACACACTTTCACACACACGCACACACACACAACAACAACAACAAACGCTCTAACTCTCTCTCTCTCTCTCTCTCTCTCTCTCTCTCTCTCTCTCTCTCTCTCTCTCTCTCTCTCTCTCTCTTACGCACACACATGTGCGAACACAGACATATATATAGTAGTGAGACAAAGAATCATATGTCTACTGGCCAATAAGCCATAAACCGACGAATCAATTGATTACGAATAAACACACCGAACTAATCGAAATAATGAAATAGCTGAAATAATGAACTAGTGGAGATAAGGAACTGTGAAAATAAGGAACTAGTGGTGATAACGAACTAGTGGAGATAACGATCTAGTGGAAATAATGAACTAGTGTAGATAATCACCTACTTGAAATAATGAACTAGTTGAAATAATGAACTAAATGAGAGAATGATCTGTGTTTTCGGCACTGCGAATGCGTTTCGTAATGCCAGGGTACTAGGTTCGATCGCAAGTGCGGTCGATTTGTCTTGCTTTGGTTTCGACCGTTCAGATGCAATGACAAACTACATAACGTTCAATTTGCCTAGAAAAACCACAACAGCAACAAAAATGCTAGTGTTGGTTCTCCAACCTCTTGTTGTCCGCCCAACACGAGGGATGAAGACCGCTTTCATCCAAAGTAGTAATAATCAATGATTATGAGTACGAAGGTGGCTGATTAGTCCAAAATGAGCCAGGAAAGTTCTTGAGCAGAGCGGACAACAGATGAAAGCCGCTATAAGTGTGGGATTAGCAGTACGATTCTTTCTAGTCTGCCTCCGTTTCTCTGCCTGTGCAACCTTTGCTGCCTGACAGGCTGATGCACCATGTCTGAGGGACGTACGCCATCTAGAACGGTCTTGTGTTTTAGCCTCCCACGTCGCTGTGTTGATGCCAAAAGAATTGAGAGCAGTCTTTAGAGTTTCCTTATAGCGCTTTTTTGTGTCCTCTCTAGGACCTCTTCCCTCGCTGGAGCTCGCCAGAAAAATACTCTCTCTGGGAAGTGATATTCTGTAAAGGATACGCCTCACGGCTTTAGGACCAAGTTTAAATCAGGGATGAAGTTCTTCCCCTCCTTAGCACAAATCCTGGGCAGTATTGTTGATAGCATGGGTTGATAATGCACAATGATTTAGTCTTGGCCTGCCTTGTTTACTCCAAAGTAAAAGTAACCCACCAAAAACCTGTTTTAAGAGCCTGCCACAAAAGCTGCAAGGTCAAAAGAGAAGGACTCTTCTGTTTAAAATTTTCGTTAAAGTTAGATTTCTACATAGCATAAAAACAGATCACATATATCAATGTTACATATCGTTATAGTATCTGCACATAAGAAAGACAGATCACATACACCAATGTTGCATATTGTCATAGTTTCTACACATAATAAAAACAGAACACATATATCAATGTTGCACATCGTCATAGCTTCTACATAGAGTAAAAACAGATCACACATATTAGTTACTTTCTAAAAAGAGTAAAAACAGAACACACATATTTGTGTTACAAATCGTCATAGCTTCTACATAGAATAATAACAGAACATATGTATCAATGTTGCACATTGTCACAGTTTCTACATAGAATAAAAACAGAACACATGTATCAATGTTGCACATTGTCACAGTTTCTACATAGAATAAAAACAGAACACACATATTAGTGTAACAAATCCTCATAGCTTCTACATATAATAAAAACAGAAGATATGTATCAATGTTGCACATTGTGATAGTTTCTACATATTAAAAAAAAACAAAAACAGAACACATGTATCAATGTTGCACATTGTCACAGTTACTACACAGAATAAAAACAGAAGGAACACATGTATGTCTGTCAGAGGCATTGGGTTCATGTTTGCATCTTTGACGCCTGTACATTTAGTTGTATTCTGTATTCGGGTCTTTTTTGGACTGCCTGTGGTCCTTTTTCCATTTACTGAGCCCTGTAGTATCGTGGAATGACAGATGTACGTACTATTGTATTTTCCGTCTCTTCATTTGCTGTGAAAAAGAAGTTCACAGTAGTCAGTATGATGTATTACCTATAATCAAACATAGCCAGGCCCCACTGTGGGGGAAAACAAGAATAGACCTACTACCTCCCCAGTATGCACGTCGTAGCAGTCGACTAATTAGGGGCTTTCTTCGAGGACGGAGTGCATCTGTCCAAACAGCACGGAACAACAAACTACGAATAAATAGGCAGTAAAACGGATGTACACGCCTAACTCAGGTCCTGGCACAAAGTCAAAGTCCAAATAGAGGAAAAACCAGGAATCTCCGCTGGGGATTAGCGTACAGCTGACGAACAAAAGAAGAAGATGAAGAAGGAG